CACCATTGTAGCCGTATGGGAGAGTCGAAGCAGGCCACATCATCTGGGCCCTCGTTTCCGACTTTCAAGCTGTTATCCTCCAGCTTAAACACCTTGGTTTGATCGCGGGTCGAGAGTTGGATCTCGCTTTCGCGACTCGTGCAGCGGCCTGGGCTGATCCATGTCACCCCGACCTCGAGCATATGGAAGCACAAATCCACCAAGGCATAAGATGGAACGGAGTCCCTCTCTATGTGGACCCCGGCCAAGCGGCGTTTCTGATCGGCTGCTCTGGCCGCTTTTTCAGCGAGGGGGAGTTTCTTAGGGGTCTCAGAAGCATCGCCTTGAACATTCTGGCGCAACTGTGCGATCACAAAGGTGCATGATTCGAAGATGAGTCGCTTCAAGAGCGAGACGTCACCCAAGCGAGGCGCAGCTCCAAGAATCCTAGTGCTGAAAGCATCCAGCTCGGCCTGCGTAGGGCGATCCTGAGGGGTGCCGCATGCATAAGCCAGACTAGCAAAGGTCGTGACACCATTGTCACGCAAAGCCGTGTGAATGGTTCCCGCATTCACCTCCTGGCATCGCTGGGTGAAGGCAGCTTCGGAATCCACAAGCGACATGATGCCCTGCGTCTGAGTCACAAAAACACTCAAGCGGAGAGGCTTCCATGACAGTAGCACCGGCAGTGCGAGCATGCACACACGAAGAGTACGTGGGTCTTTCGAAGAGGCGCGTTTCACAGATCCGCCGCGAACTTCTTGCAGTTCCGGCAAACGGAAGAGTCAAATCGAATTTTTATTGGTGGCTTGTATGTGTCGCCAACCATGCGGCCGCACAGCAAAACCTTCCGATTTTGATCGGAAATCAAGTGCAAAAGCCGAGTCCGCTTGTGTTGCAGAAAAGATGTGCCTAGGGCGGGCTTTGGTACACCCACCTTGCGCTCAGGTTCGTGACTGATCCTTGAAGACGAAGAAGACGACTCATCTGAACAGCTTGAACTGGAAGAGTCTGTCTCGGAAGCATTCTCATTAGTTTGCTCGATCAAGTTGTCCCACGGGTGTACTGGCGAATCGCCGATGTCGGGCGACTCCGGCTCCTCGTTGGCGGCAGCATGCCCTGGGCTCGGAGGAGAGATGCCCAAGTCTCTCCAATCATCGTCAGTGAGCCGCTCAGGGAGCGGGAGATCCCACGAAGCCGCATCCTGCTCTGTTAAGCCGTCCTTGCTATTGCCAGACTGATCAGCAGGGCAATCACCATTTGTGGCCTCAGATCCCGCGCCAGCTGCAAAGGCGCCTGTGACTGTAGAGTCACGGGCCTGCATCCTATCCGCCGTCAGCCGGCGTTCCCGCAGGCCAGCACCGAAGATGTACCCCGCACGTCCAGCGTCAGGGTCGAAGACACCTTCGCGGATTTCCTCCAAGAGCGCCAGGAGCAACCTTAGTGGCCGTGCCAGCTCGTCATCACCATAAGTGTCGGCCATCTTCGCCGAGTTGGCGTGACCACCCATGGTTAGCCGATCAAGGTGCTCCACCCCACGCTTTGCAGCCATGGTCAAGAAGGTGCGCTTCATGAGGTGTCCTGTTGTGTTCTTGCTATTGTCGCGTCCCAAGACTTTCTGGATCCAAGCAGTAATCTCCTTAGAAGAGACCGAGCACCCCATGGCCTCGCCAGCAGCATTGGGCGTGGGCAGCGGCGGCAAGAATGTAAACAGTCCGACCTCCGCACGAGCCTGTTTCCACAAGTGCAGCCAGTTGTCACTGAGAATCCCAACTCCAGGAGCGATGAACCTAACAGGCTCGCCAGCAAAGTACTTGGAATTCACTGTCTTATACACCTCAACAGTGTACACCAAGAAAATGATGTCCCCCTGGCCGTTCGTCTCGATATCAAAGCTGACTGAATGTTGGAAGTCCCCCCAACGCGATCTCATGTAAGTGCAACAGAGAACTGCTCCTGCGAAGGTGCGGTCCCAAGCTGGAACATCCTTGTCCGCAAGCAAATGGTGAAGCTTCTTCAATTCCAGAATGGAGAACGGATGAGCCCTCTTCTTGCCACGCTTCACAGTTCCCCTCTGCGACGCCCCCAGACAGCGACGACTTTCAATCACCCGGTCTAGCTGGGGAACCATGAAAACATGCCGCACGAAGATTATAGCTTCTCGCAGAGCTTTCAGCTGTGACGGTTTCGCCCCACCGGCCTTAGCATCTGACATGTATCGGTACACATCTTGCTCACGATAAGGAAAAGTCCCGTCGCCCCAGCCAACAACCTTGTGATATCCCATAATAGAATTGGCTCTCTTCAACAAAGTGCTCGGCGCCTTGGGATGCAGCCAATCCTGGACCACGTTGATCCTTTGATCTTTCTCGGTGCATTCATCCAGGCTTTGGCATACCAACAAATCAGGACACGTCTCAGACCACTTCACAATGATGAAAATCCATCTAGCAATAGCCTTGTCAGAATCCTGTTGCCGTTGATCCTCCCAGCTCAATCCTTCAGTCTTGCGAACAACAGTAAAGCAAATGCCTTGCGAGAAATCAGCATCCAATACCTTGCGTTTTTTCTCGGCTGGAAGCAGAGTTTCCTCGTCGCCATGATCCCACCCCGGTGGGTCCGGCAGATCGAACCTGTCCTTCCAAGACAAAGGATCCTCCCCTTCGAAGATCTGCTTGAACACTCCAGACTCCCACGGAAGCAGCTTATCCCTAGGAGTGGCTTCCGAGCATGAGTCAACAGCAGAAGCAAGCAGAGTCTTGAAGTCGAAATGAGACATGAGCGCTCCCGTATCGCACCCACAGCAAGAGCGCGACACAAGAGGGCGACCCCAGGTCACAGAGCCACACTATCCAGCGGGCCGAGGACTCTGTGTCGCCGAAGCTTGAGAGGCAACTGCCGAATCCACGGGTGACCACTCACGCAAGTGCCACCTGAGGTCCGCGTGCCACCACCAGCAGATCAGCTCAAGCGAATGCCGATCGACTGCACACAGGCAGTCGCCCACAGAGGCAACCGCCGCCGGAATGCAAAGCAGCCCCTGAAGAGAAGGCTCGATATCTTCCAGCACAGCAGTCGTGTCACTCCGAGGGCTAGCGGACATGCGCAGCGACAAACCTAGCACAAAAGGCAATCCCAAATCGTGACGTAGGTTATGTGAAGTGCAGCACGGCACTTAGCCTGGAAAAGAGCACTGGTTGACAAGCACCTTCAGTACGCCGAAGTGTCCTAGCACAAATGAGTGGCGTGAGCAGTCCATGTTGCCATGCAAGTGCCCGCCACATGAACATCTGTTTGGGATGCATCTGGGCAGGCGCGCGAGCAACAAGAAAATTGTCATGACAGCTTCGGCAAATCACTCATGAGGCAGGACAATGAGTGCAGGCTCAACTGAATGCACGCTCACTGAAGAACACATTTTACAGAAGCGGAGGCCTGGAAGTTTAGTCGACCATCACCGTTCCAGGAAGACGATCGGCCACAAAAGAAAGCCTCCATAGCCGCCGAAGGCGCCAGCCAAAGGCGAAGCCATTCAGCAGTCGGGTAGCCCAAAAGACCACGTCAGCCAGTCCTGGTAGAAGCAGCGCGGCGTTTCCTGGCAAACCGTCGAGTGAAGGAGCCACGGCACACCAGGCGGAAGTTTGTCTCCATCTGGAACCATGTAGAGCGCTCCATGCTGCACTCGTAGGTCGGCCGAACCCCGGCTTGCCGAAAGTGGAGCGTAACACCATCGACGATCCATCGCTGATAATTCTCGTTGTGCTCACAGGTCCTGGCAGATTCATTGAGCAGCTGTGAGAGGGTGTCGTGGCCATTCCAACCAATGGTCGCAGTAGGTACCCCATCCAGAACAATGGAAGCCTCGCCGGAAAGATCACATGACCACGCACGATGGGAGCGCGCAGTCTGATCCCGTTTCTTGAGAGGTGACCACATCACTTGTGATTTTCACTTTATTTCCAATTTCACAACGATTGTTGTCTCGTTGAGAAACGATCGTGCATGAACACTTCGGGCGGTTTTTGTGAAACTCTTTTGAACCTGATTTTTAACGATTGAGTTTTTCATGAACTTTATTCTTTGATGATCAGTTGCTAACATGTCTCCCGCGCACGCTCCTTCAAGCACATGAGTGCAAATTTTTGTCTCCGTGGGGCCTTGTAAGATCCGCTAGCATAGTGTGAGTTCCGAGCCTGATTGCTGGCACTCCCGCGAAGGAAGTGGTGAGTAGCCCTTGAGCGCAAGTTCGGGTGAAAGCTGCGAGCGGAGTGAGTTGTCGGATAGGGCTGCAGGACACTCCACGACACGTCTAGTGGTGTCAGGGCTCCTCTAGAGGCCTTCTTCGTAGTTGTTCTAGTGCTGAGCCGGGGCGGGCCGCCGCATGGGATCCATGTCCGAGCCTGCTCGAGCAACTGCGGCGGACACTTTGGCAGGCGAACCACGAAGCCACGTTTCGTCGGAGAGCGATTGTGATGCTCACCGGCTGGTTGACCGGTTTCCTGCGGCTGGCTCCGCGCTGGACTACGTGGATGACTCTGCGGATGCGCAGTTGTGGCAACGGCTCTCAGCCTTAGAACAGCCCGTTTTCGGCTCCAACTCTGGTGCGACTGCTGATGTTTCTTCCGGTGATGAACAGGTGGAGGTTGCTGTGGAGTCGCCTACCTTTCAGATCTTGCAAGCTGAAGCTTTTGGTCGCGGGCTTAAAGTGGGAGAGGCAGCACACGGGTTAGGGCATTAAGGTTTTTGAGTTTTCTTCGCTCGCCGCCACGGCGGCTCGTCACGAACGCAAAAAGGTACTAGCTGTCGTCGCAGGCTAGACAGCAAAGGTACTTTTTGCTGTAGAAAAACTCAAAACCCAAATTCAAGCGAATATAAGTTGCACTCACTCCGTAAGTATAAAAGTCAATCAACTCATATCGTATCGCATCACTCGGACCCTTCTTTTCTTTCAGGGGGCGCACCGGGTTGCCCGGCCTCCCCAGAAAGTAGCAACACGGTACGTTCCCACTCAAGACCAGAGATTACAAGTCGACCAGCGGGATGCCCGAGATGGGGCATGAGCACTTAACTCGTAATGCACCCGAATCAACAAGTGCTCTGAACTCACCGCGTGACGGGTCGTCTGAAGGATTGGATGCGGAAGGGACCCTTGTCCAGTATGTCCACGATGGACCATGTTTCTCACAGCATTCCCATGTGAGAAGCAGCTCTCGAAAGTGATCACTGTTAGACGTTCCTCGCACAAAGCTGAGAAGGACAGCGTCGTTGTCAACGAAGAAAAGGCAATACTGTCCAGACATGTACTGGTGGAAAGCCTTGCGTGCCAGGGCGACAGCGTACGCCTCAACGGGTCCGATAATATGCTTCAGATGCTGCCTCCATCGATCTGCCAAGGCACAAGGAACTTCACAAGAAAAGAATCGGGGCCGCGCATCAGAAGGAGAGTAAAGAATACCTCCAACGGTGTTGCCAGACTGTTCACTTGCTCCGTCCGTGAAGATCAAAACAGGCTTAGGGGCAACCACACAAGGGACTACCCTAGGGGAACCGAAAGAGAGGCGATCAATGAGAAACTCGAAAGCCTCGATCTCGCGGGGACCCAGAACAAACCGGGAGGCGTGGCGTGTGGAAGCGGCTCTCAGCTCCGCCAATGCGAGCTTTCCGGTTCTCCCCATGACTTGCGCATCGGAGAACTGGACACGTCCTGCAACCCTGGCAAAAGTACGCATCTTGATGCAACCTTCACTGATGCATTCACGGATGGCATCACACACCTCACTGGATCGGCCTTCCTTGTTCCTAATCCGAATGACACCTTCCCTGGCTCCTTTCAAGTCAATCTCGACCCCAAGCATGGAGGCGACGTCTGCAAATGGGTTCAGTTTGTCAAGGGATGCGGAAAAACCAAGCACTGAGGACAACACAAGCAAGGTGTCCATGGTGGAACCTGACAGACAGCACGGGCTCATCACTGGATAATCGTCAACGAAGTTGGCCCAGAACAGGAAGACTTCCAAACCTATCCGCCACAGCAACCTAGACAACCTGTTGAAGTGGAGCACGGACGATGTGCTTCCAAAAGGCAGAGCCTTACCCTCAAACAATCCCAAGTCGCCATTATCCGGATTGAGAAGGGCAACGACGGAGAAGGCACGATGGCTCGGGTTCAACGCAAATTGGCGATAAGCATTCTTCAAATCAAAGGTGCACAGCTCAGGACACCACGACGAACCCGCCCAAGCAGGGTGCACTCGACCAACCAACGGTGGTCCGCTGGCCATGTCCAGAAAGAATTGATGCTCCGTCGTGTGAGCTCGGATCCAAAAGCGACATATTGCAATGATCTCGTCAAGTGCCCTTAGATCTAGCTTATCCCCATAAGAAAAAGAACCATTAACTAAGTTCTCGGAGTAGTCGTCAATCGGTCTCAACTTGCGCTTGCCTCCAGAAGATTGAATCACGGCGAACCGGCGCACAGGGGCCCATGCGTCGCCGTACCTTCTCGTCAGCTCTTCTTCGGTAAGTGGTCCCTCCAAGAACCCTTCGGCAACCTCAGTCAAAGTCTTATCCCACAGTTCCGAGGAATGCTCATTCAAACCCTCGGACAAAACCTTACCCAAAAGCGCCGGACGAATGTACTTACAGGCCTTAGTAAACTCGTCAGCCGTCCTCTCCTGGGGACGAGGCTCCTTTCTAAAGACACCAGTGGGCTTCTGCCAGCCAACCAAACCAAAACCCTTACAAGTATCCTCAAACCATCCATCGTCGGGCCACTTCAAGTCATCAGCAATGCGTTTGAGCAAGAGAAGCCTCTTTGATCCTAACACAGACCTCACACCAGGTTCGAGGTCCTCCTTAAGTCGGGACTCTGGTTCCTCCAATTCCCTGGCCCATTCTAACCACTTGTTGAGAGTGGCCACACGTTGTCTACCAACCCACTCAGGGCCCTTCACCAAGGCCTCATGAAGCTTTCGTTTCACTTCGTCGGGGATGACAGCAAACGTCTCGAAGGGATGCCGTAATCCTTTGGCCTCCTCCAGAAACTCATCCGGTGTTGCATACACACCAACACTAAGTTCGAAGCCACCCGACTCCCCCGTCTCCTCAGTGGCGAGAAGTTTGGAGCCTGCGGGGATGTCACCGATGGCGTGCTGCAAGCAATTTTTATGATCCACAGGCGGAATCTGTGGCACACGACATCTGCAAACGCGACCAAATTCTCTGATGAGGCTCGCACCAAGTTTACCCCGACGCTGCTGTGTGACAGGCGGAGGGCTGGACTGCAGCGGAGACAAAAGGGGGTCAACGCCACAGTGTTTAGCCACGGCGTGGGCAACCTGCTGACAGAAAAGCCTGGGATGAGTATCAACACCGCCAGTCACAGGCGTGTGACTATGATTACCATGGCACACTTGTTGTAAACACTTGAGTGCACTACAAGACGTTAGCAGTTGCCTCCGCAAGCGATGCGGAGAATCGAAGGCACACAAATCGTACACCACGGTAGTGGTGTTGGTGAGCTGGCGCACAGCAGGCATATGCCACAGGAAGCTGGACTGCGGATGCTCAATGGACCAAGCGATGCCCATTTGTTGAACTCGTTTTAAGAAGGTGATGACATGTTCCAACAAGGAGTCGGCCAATGCGAGCCTTTGAACCTGAGAGGCGTCGGCGCCTCCTACAGGAACTACAGATCCATGGGACAGTCGTCGGAGGCCCTGCTTGGGTCCATAGGTGGCATACGGCAGATCAATGTGCACGTACCGAACATGATAGTTGTCAAGCACATGCGAAAGATACTGCCACGAGCTCGGCAAGGCAAGATCCAGTGAGCACAACTTGGCCAACGGAAGCCGGTGACTTCCCCTATCTATGGGCATGACCTCAAAGCCAATCTGGTGAAAGGCTCGGGACAAAGAGCCTGCACGGGCAAACAGCTCGAGCACAATACCAGGCTGGTCAACCGGCGTGGCCTGAACCTGACCAGTAGACACTACGGAATCTTCTACGGGGGCTAAACCCGACTTTGAGGAAGCTAGAGGCGGGGAAGTCACTGGTTGTGCGAGGCCGAGTGGTTTTGGAAACTCATCAGTAGCACACCCCCCGGTAACGACCGGCGCTTCATAGCACACCGGAGGTGACTGTTCGGCATCAAGAATGTCGGCTTGCATCGGGAGCTGGAATTCCAAATCGGTCAGTGTAGCACTATCAGTCTCACTAAGGTGATCAATGGCGGAGACTGAAAAAGCAACTAACACCACTCTATCACCCGACCAATTCCTAGTGGCGTGAGTCAAACGTCGAGCGGTGAAGACGGCATGACTCCCATCCAAGCTGAGTTCGACTCCACTGCGTAGTTCGCCATCAACATCGCACCAAGCTTGGCCGCCTGGTCTCTCAACCCACACCTGTCCCTGATCGAAGTCAGACAGTGCACACACAGCATTGGGCAAAGAAGAATTATGCGCATCCACATGAGGTGTGGTTTGAACGTTGCGAAAGAATGCTAAGCTCGTGAACTTTAAGCTGGGCAGCTGCTGTCGCACAAAGCGCGCGGCCAACTTTGTCACATTCGGGAAGAGCAAGACATTACGTCGCAGCCCAACCTTGACTCTGCAATAGGCACCTGTCGAGAAGGAGACCCCTTGTGAGGGGTCACCTCGGACGGAAGCCTCTGTGGGGAGTGATTGGAAGATCTCAAGTAAATCAGTGGGGGAAACAACACCAGCATTGTTCAGCAGGGTCAGAGCTCGATCCTCGACCGAACCCTTGAATTCGTGATCAAGACTTGCGCTACTGATCGACTCAATTTCATCGATGGCCTTGACCTCATCAGCCTGAAGATTGGTTTGAAGTGAAACGCGTGCAATCTTGGGAGCAGGAGCCTGGGCCCCTAGTCACTCGGTATTGCGCTTTGGGCAGTTGGGGTAGAAGTGCCCGGGCTGGTAACAAAAGCAGCAAACGTGAGCACCCCTGAAGCACTTGTTGCCTGTCAATTGCCTAGTGCATTTGCCCCTCTGAGCATCAAAGCAAATGGGCACTCCTTTCGGGGTGTTTGCGTGCCCGTCCTTTAGGTCCTCTGGCATGGTCACCTCGCGGCGTGACGGTTGCTTACCCTTACCAGAACCTTTGCCCCGACCTTTACCACGGCCATACGGAGTGGGTCTCTCAAAGGGAATCTTAGCGGGAGGAGGCGACGCGAGAGGAGCGAGCAAATGAGACACCTCGGTCAAATCGGCGCAACGCATCCACGCCTCGTCCAATGGACGACCGGTCTCCGTGACTTGCACTCCACTGCGACACTCATTAGCAGCGGTGACAAACAATTGCTTATCGGCTTGAAGCAGCTGCTGTATGCTGACTCGGGTGTATCCCGAAGGCACCTCACGATATCTGGAGTGCAACAGGCGCTCAGCCCATTTCTCATGTTCTTTGAAACCTAACAATCCGGCCTGTTCCATCGCGAGTCCTCGCCGAGTGAGGGCGAATTTCAGTAACAAGTCAGTGCTCAAGTCGGCCTCACCTCGAATGTCGGCGTTCTTGATGTGAACATTACCGCTATTGTCAACTGTGAGGGTACGATCCTCCTTGTCCCGGGAATTCCGAGTCTCATCGTCCTTGCTCATGCACCAACTCAGCGGAAGATATGTAAGGCGATTGTTTTCATACATTTGACAACACTTGTCCACTGACCTGTCACTCGGTTCATTAGGCCCGGCGATAGTCAAGCCTGGATACCGCACCACTTGACGAGCCAAACGATCTGCTCGGTCAGGAGCGGCAAGGCTCCTCGCTGGTGCATCGGTGGTGCGCTCAACCTGAGATTTAAGCTCGGCCGCGACCAAAGCAAAGGCCTCAGAGTGCAATCGGCGCAGCACCGAAAGCTCCCCCACGGTAGCATCCCTCTTCAACAAGTCCTTTATGGAAGTCACAAAAGGACCCTCATCACTCTGACCCGGAATGAAGCTGCTCACATACGCAAATTTGGCAAGAGTGTTGACGCCACCATCGACAAGCAGCTGAAGCACCTCAGCTTTCAAGCCGAGTTTCGCAGCCCGGGAGCTAAAATTGGCCTCACTCTCAGTAATACTCATGGTTCCAGCTTGAGCCGACCCGACTCTCGCGAACCCATGTGGTCCCCATCGTTGTTGATCACAACGATTTGCAAACAACTCTCTACCGACACTCACACATCGCAACGTCGCTCAAGAATTGTTTCACCTCCAACTCGTGTCGCGTCACCTTCAAAATCGCGATGCCACTGACATCCCATCACCGTGACACGCAGGGCCCATGGGCACACCGCACCGATGTGAAGTGTACAATCCTTGGCGCTGGCACGGTACACTGTTGCAACAACATGTGGACAAAAAGCACGGGGCCGACACGGCACACCGTGATCACGCCAGGACCGTCCCTTTCACATCATCAATGTTCTGTCGCGGCGGGGTCTCGCTGACACACCGTTGACCCGACATGTGATACGACTCGGGGCAAAATGCACACCGATGACAGTCTGACGCGGGGATAGCACACCGGTCATGACCTCGGTCGGGGCCGCAACGGCACACCGTCCTCAGTATCCCTCTGTGTCACGCTCGCCAAACACAAATCTCAGCTCTGATCCCCTCTAACCTGCTCTCCAACAGCAGGCTCGACACTGGCATCTGTTTTGACAGAGTTGAAACACCTGGCACACACAGGGTACAGAAACGATGGAACAGCTGCCACCTTCTCGTAGTTCTTCGTGCATGTCCTGCCGCAAGATAGAGAAGTTCCGCCCTCGTCGGCAATCAAGTGCAGCATGCGTGAAGACCGATTGCGAACCAAGTGCTCTGCCTTCAACTCGCGCTTAGGCACTTCCTCACACCAAACCATCCACGACCCCGTCCAGCGCTCGCTCGAGCTCCTGACAATCGGTCTCGGCATCCTCTTCATCAAGAGACGCCTCTGAGGAAGCTTCGTAGTCGTAGCTGGCGTTGGGGTCGTCCTTCGTGGGGAAGTACCCGCTCCGGGTACTGTCCGGAACAAAAGTCCCTGACCTAATGGCCGCGAGGACTTTCTCGAGCACCCTGACCGATGCTGATACGGCATCGCGGCTGTATACTTGGGCGCTGCGGTCGCCCGGAGCCGTGTGATACCCCAACACTCTCTGATCATAGCTGTCGATGCCGAATCTGGCACACCAAGATAGACAAGTCGCTTTACATGAGTGCGTTCCAATAGGGGAACACTGAGCCTCAGAAAATCCGCACTTGCGGAGCACGTTTCTCAACCATCCAGCAGCGACCGAAGCACTCGGAGGGTGACTAGCCCAGTGTCCGGTGGTCAAAATCGCAGGCAGGACGGGCAGCCCCTCTCCAACAGGGACGTTCAATTCCTTTCTCAGCATGGACCACGCCTGGAACCAATCTTCGCCAGCGATACCCTTGCGTGGACACACCATCGGCAGCAGCTGAGTTTTCCTCTCAGTGGTGTAAGATGTCTTGCTGCGTGCGATGTCGGCCTGAAGGTAGCCTCCAAGCCCAGACGGGTCGACCTGCGGCTTGTCCTCGCTGACATTGTACATGTTCTGTGTATCAGAATACCTGGCCCTCATAAAAATCGAGAGCAAGAAGAATCCAGCTATGAACCGATCAATGCGATCCCCATCGGGGGAAACTACAAACCTCTCAAGTCGCTGTACCATCTCAGTCGACAACGGTGGGCGCTGGACCCTCTTCCGCTTTGTCAAGTAGCATGCCCTGGCCACACCACTCAATCTCATGCTAGCCATCGCCTCCTGAGCGCTCTCCGCTCCAAGAATGAAGAAACAAAAGGTCACCGCGCTCAGGAAGCTTTTGAGGAAACTCGGCGAGCATGTATGTTCGCACTCACAAGCAAACTCGTACATGTCATCCTCCTTGAATGGAAATGCCAAGACTGCATGCCTATCAGCCCATGCCACGTATCGTATGAGCGGATCAGCCCGACTGTGCAGAGTTCCAACTGCCTTGCCTGCGAACACATGTCGCAGCGACCTTGACACTTGGACCCCGACAGGTGCTAGTGACGTGACCTTCCGACCCACATCGAAAGACTGAGGGCTCCTGAGTACAAGAGCAGTCCACTTCCGAACGGCCGCCACCAGTCTCTTCTCGGTCTGGTTCTCCCAAGAAATATCATGACGTACACGAGAGAATCGATGTGCAAAAGAGACAGCCGGCTGTTTGGGAACCGGAACAGAAATGTTGCTGCTCACAGGAATGAGGGGTAGTGGCCCCCTTCCCAAAGGAACACTGAAATCAAGCAAGCTATTTCGAAATTCAGGTGTCTCCCAAGGCATCCTAAAAGCCGAGCCCTGAGAAGTTCGCAAACATGTGCTGAGATGAGCATCGTAAGCAGAGTCGCTGGCCGTCCTCTGCCTCTTTGCACTTTCTTCGGATGCCATCCTTCAAGTGCTGCAGGCCACCGCTCGCCCCTAAAACTCGGCCCAAGCACTAACGCAATGGTTTTGCCTCGGGCTGCGAATCAAGAGCAGGTTGGGCACAGAAGAAGCTAGCGCGGATTTGCCAGCTTGCGTGAAGAATTTGCAGGCGCTCAACAGAAGAAAGGCAGGCCCAAATCAAGCTGGCAAGATCTCTCAGCTGAATTGTCCTGGCCAAAGCGGCCTGCATGGCTGGGCCCACCTCTAGTCGAGACCCATCTCCCACTCTTGAGCAGCAATGTAACACGACGTGGACATTTCACATGCTCTTCAAAGAAATTTCTTCTCTCAAGAAATCACTGCTCGAAAATACATTGCTTAAAGTGGGAGAGGCAGCACACGGGTTAGGGCATTAAGGTTTTTGAGTTTTCTTCGCTCGCCGCCACGGCGGCTCGTCACGAACGCAAAAAGGTACTAGCTGTCGTCGCAGGCTAGACAGCAAAGGTACGCCTGAGATTGCACCATGGGCATTTCAAAAATCTCGAAAACCGTTCTAATGCCCGACCGATTTCTCTAAGCAACAGCCTTCAAAGATTCCTCCTTGCTCAGCTCCTTTGACACACGCACCGCCTCAGCACCTGGTTCAAAATGAACCTTTTCGGGAATGATGGCAGCCATGGCGGGGCTGTAAAGAAAACCGCAGCTCCAAAGGTTGACAGGTTTCGGCGCTCACACTGACAGGTTTAGGGGTTTAGGGTTTAGGGTACAAGGTGCACACAAACCCTGCCACCTCTTGCGATCTCATGTGCATGCTCTGACTCAACGAACATAGGAGGAGCTCGAACAAAAGCTGAAGGATCGGAATAATGCCACATGCATGTCATGCTTTCTGCAAACTGCACAAAGCCTCGACCGGACATGTCTGGAAATGAGCTCAGCCCCTCTGCAAAGCAACACCTTGCACACAGCTGCCGACATCCCTTGGCACCTGAATCGTCATCATCATCACGTGTGACCCGGCAAAGCTTCGATCTGTAGACCGCTGGACGAGGCATCCTGAACACAAGGAACAACTCGGAGCCGCCCATAGAATGCTCAGCTATGGTTACAAAGGATTCAGCTAGTCAGGTCCTAAAAAGGAGTTTTTTCAGAGCATGCTGGACCAAATAGTTGCAAAAGACTCAGTTAGTCCGTCTTCAATCAGAAATTGCTGCCTGCACCCAACACCGCACCAACGGAATCTTGGCAAGCTGGACTGTCCTTGCAATGAACCGTCATCTCCCACCCAATGGTCCTGCATGCAGAGGCAATACTCCCATCAGCCCTACACAATCCAGTCTCGACCACACAGTCCTCCCAAGAAAAAAAGGACTTCAGCAGCTCGTCGAAGTTCTCGAGCTTGCCACGTCCTGAGGACGAGATAGCTGGTCTATACGTTTTAAGAAATTTTACAATCTGTCAGATGAAGTTACCAGACAGGCCGGTCCTGCCCGCGAAAGCACTCGATTCAGCAAGGCACCATCAACGAGGGGATCGGGAGTCATGCAGCAAGCACGTCAAAGCTTGGGAAACACGATTGCGCACAAGCTTACTACATTATCATAATCAGCACGATCTACCGATCGGATCTATCGGTCTGATCTGCACGTGCTCGGCTCTGATCTGTGCACCCGCACTGTCCCGTGTCAAAGCTCATGCCGTGCACAAGCAACACAGAGCCAGCTGGACATCAACGGAAGCGTTTGCCTGCACTGCATGCATGGACGACCTGATCTTGCCAGCTGCACATGCACTCGCACGTAGAGCAAGTTTCGGAAATTTCTGACCCTAAAGACTGTTTGCTGTTGAACTTATTTAGGGCATCCAGGATTAGGGGTTTTCTCTCCCGCACTCGTTTCGCAAAAGGTCAGTCATGCCTATGCATCCATGAGCAAAATTTGGGGGGTCCAGGCGACATCATGGGCAAGATCCCAATCAAACATCCCGAAATTCATCATTTGAGCCAATCCGGCACGGTTCGGTCCCAGTCATTCCCGTGCGCAACGACCCAAGGCCGTTTTAAGGGACATTTCAATCGTGCTTGAAATAAGGGTCATTTGAAAAGCGCAACGTCAGCTTTTTTGAGGGTCAGGCCGTCCCCAAGGTAGCGGCATCCAGGCTAGCGATGTCCTCCTGGGACAGGTCCGCCCAGCTGGAAGCTGACAGCGGGGCTGCTGGCGGAGCCCGGCCCCTAGCCACTTCCTGGGCGGGGCCTCTTTGTCTAGCCTCTCGATCGCCTCGTGGGACATAGCGATCAGTTCCTGTAGCAGAGGCTTGTCGAGATAGCGGTGCAACCCGTCGGTGCACTCCGACGGCCGAAACCGCAGCGCCTTCCGAAGACCGCGGAGGGTCTCCGGGAGGTAGTCGCCACTAGCGGACCCATCGGCCGTAGCGGGGTCTGCGGCCCCCTTGCCCTGGGGCGAAGTCGCTCGGGCGTCTTTGCCCGTTCCTCCCATAGCGGTGCCCTAGGCACAGATCCGGTGAAACTGCGAAGAAAATCTAGCTACCCCGAGGTAGCGAAGCCGAGGGCTATCGTGGAGGGAGGTTTAGCACAGTCACTGGCTCCTGCGCCTAGCTCCTTTGTTGCCCTGTTGCCTAGGGTCCAAAACCCGCACGTTTCGTAGCGCCTTCCTCCGCTCCTGAGCTCCTTCCTGCAGGGCGGACCTAGCGCAAGCACTGGCTCCTCTCCCAGCTCCTGTGTTCCCTGGGTGGCCAGAGAAGGGGTCGCCCGGCCCCGGTTTCCCAGCGCCTCCCCCCGCACACCCCCTTCAAAAGTCTAGCGGCGTTTCGCAAGGGAGGAAGAGAGGGGAGAAGAGAGGCAGAGAGGGGAGGACATGCAGTTCCGTCCTCGCAGATTTTCTAGCCTTGGTGCGAGTGCGAGTTCGGCGGCTTAGCACGCCCTGCGCTCAAGGGTGACTGCTAGCGGACCCTACTGCGGGATCCTCGGGGGCCTCGTCATCATCCGAGTTAGCGAGCGACCCTTCGCTAGCGTCTCCTTCGGAGATAGCCTCTTGGTTCGGCCAGCATAGCTTACACACGTGTGTGTGCTCATGCGGCCCCGGAACCGAATCGAGAACCCCAGCTGGCCCACTCTTATCCGTAACAAATCGTACTTCCGGGTCTTGGTGGCTCTGTGTGGCCCGCTCTTATCCGCAACAAATCGTACTTCCGGATCTTGGTGGCTCTGTGCTTGCCCCAGGAGGCTGTTTGTGGCTGGTTGTCAGCTGAAGAAAATCTTTTTTTAATGCTGAAGGAAAATCTTTTTTTGTTGGCCTGCAGGCGAAATGGCTCACAAAGCTTGCACCAGGAGGCCATTTTGTGGCTGGTTGTCAGCTGAAGAAAATCTTTTTTTGTTGGCCTCCAAGCGAAATGGCTCGCAAAGCTTGCCTCAGGAGGCTGTTTCTGGCTGGTTGTCAGCTGAAGAACATCTTTTTTGTTGGCCTCCAGGCGAAATGGCTCGCAAAGCTTGCCCCAGGAGGCTGTTTTGTGGGTGGTTGTCAGCTGAAGAACATCTTTTTTTGTTGGCCTGCAGGCGAAATGGCTCACAAAGCTTGCCCAGGAGGCTGTTTGTGGCTGGTTGTCAGCTGAAGAACATCTTTTTTTGTTGGCCTGCAGGCGAAATGGCTCACAAAGCTTGCACCAGGAGGCCGTTTTGTGGCTGGTTGTCAGCTGAAGAAAATCTTTTTTTGTTGGCCTCCAAGCGAAATGGCTCGCAAAGCTTGCCTCAGGAGGCTGTTTCTGGCTGGTTGTCAGCTGAAGAACATCTTTTTTGTTGGCCTCCAGGCGAAATGGCTCGCAAAGCTTGCCCCAGGAGGCTGTTTTGTGGCTGGTTGTCAGCTGAAGAACATCTTTTTTTGTTGGCCTGCAGGCGAAATGGCTCACAAAGCTTGCCCAGGAGGCTGTTTGTGGCTGGTTGTCAGCCGAAGAAAATCTTGTTTCGTTGGCCTCCAAGCGAAATGGCTCACAAAGCTTGTTTCAGGAGGCTGTTTGTGGCTAGTTGTCAGCTGAAAAAAATCTTTTTTTGTTGGCCTCCAAGCGAAATGGCTCGCAAAGCTTGCCCCAGGAGGCTGTTGGTGGCTGGTTGTCAGCTGAAGAAAATCTTTTTTTGCTGGCCTCCAGGCAAAATGGCTCACAAAGCTTGCCATCTGATGTCCTCCAGTGCCTTGACAGGGCCATATTACCTCAATTTACTTAAACCTTTTGTCGGGGGTCCATCCTCCAATTTACTTAAATTCTCCTACTGGGTTGTGCCAACTTCCGGGCCTTCGTGGAAAGGATTTCGGGCTTTCGTAGGAGAATTTCGTGCTTTCTGCTTCCATTCTACTGTCAAACCAACAACCTACGCTGTCGCATCTTGGCGCCTGCGCCTTCTAAAATTTAGGGTTTAGGGTGTGTCGATGCTCCGCGCACACCACCACGCGAGACGTGTATTGTGGTGTGCGCCTAGGTTCAACGCTCTCGCCCTACCCGCCCGCCCAGTCTATGACCTTTGTCGGGTTTAGGGTTTTTGTTATTTTCCACGGAGCTTTGCTTTATTTCTGATGTAAGATTCCAATCACAGTATTCCCAAGCTATATGGGAAAATCAAAGTATATAAAGAATAAGAAAATTGCTCAAGCAGATGTGGCGCTTTTCACGAGGATCGCCAACGAACACCCCGGGAGTGGAGGGAGGGACAAAATTTTCCGGCCCTTTGGCCAGGGTGCAGCTACCCACCCATCCCACCCCTGTCTCGAGGCGGCGCGGGAAATAAAAGAGATGAACTCAGACGATTCAAAGCATGCATTCATGCCATGAAATGTGGTTCAAATTAAAGCAAAGGCGTTTTGAAAACTTCGCAGTAATTTTCAAAACTCTCCTAGGAAAATAAAGCTAATAGAGGCAAGCCTCATGTGTCGCTTATTTTCCACGGAGCTTTGCTTTATTTCTGAGGTAAGATTCCAATCACAGTATTCCCAAGCTATATGGGAAAATCAAAGTATATAAAGAATAAGAAAATTGCTCAAGCAGATGTGGCGCTTTTTCCTTCCGGCAAAGCCGAAGGGGGAAGTCGTGACATCCCCGCACCGATCGATGGCGAACACGAGGATCGCCAACGAACACCCCATTCACTTAAGAAGGAGATCAATCGTGGCATTGCCTTTGATCGGGCATCGAGGCGACACTCTGCACACCTGCCCCCTGACTGGAAAGATTGACTTAGCTCTCGAAGGAGGATCGGCCGGATTACTTGCACTTGGAACGCGGCTAAACCAAGGAAGCATCGCCTCTGCGTCGCAGCTCTCAAAGATCAGCAAGAGTTGCCTCCACAAAGGGTCTTTCGAAGAGCCCTTCACCAAAGAGGCCAACACTCCGGAGTGATCCACATACATGGTCACCCTTTGCATGTCCAAGTGCTTCGCCCAAGCTTCTCTCGCACATACCACTGCATACATCTCAACTGGGCCTATCAAATGCCTTTTCCCGAGAGCCTCCCAGCTCTGTACAACGCTCAAAGGGATAGCACATGCAAAGAAGAAAGTGCACCACGCGCCGTTGTCGAAATGGTACAAGACTCCTCCGACAGTGGCGGGGTGAGTTTCACTCGTCGGCTCGTACGCTCCATCTGTGAAAATCACAGAACGACGAGACCCCACACAAGCCGGGACTATCCTAGGGGTACCCCCAAGAACCCGGGACCTAAGATTACAAAGGGCCTGCACAGCCGTGGCATCAAGGGTTTTGGCCTGAGAACTCATCGTGCACGCCCTGAGGTCGGCCAGTGCCAATCTGCCCAATCGCCCGTGAAGCTGACCCTCTGCAAACTGCAAGCGACCGAACAATGATGGCAGAGTCTTCGGATCAAGATGGCCCGCTTTCAAGACGGAGTCCACTGCGTCAGCAATGGAAGTTGCACGTTCGGGCTTATTCCCAATCTTAACTACCCCAAAGCAACCAAGGTCAACCCGAACGCCTAAAAGCTCAGCCTCATGGCTGAAGGGAAGATCCTTATCTTCTGCCCATGTGAAACCCAACAGGTCCAGCACAGCTCTGATAGTTGACTGCGTGTTGTTGCAAAGCGGCAGGACCTCCAACACCGGATAGTCGTCGAAGTAGTTGCAGGCGAGCACCTGCAAGGCAACCAGAACCCTTTGGAGCAGTCTTGCAACGCGATTGAATGAGACCACCGACGAGGTGGCCCCAAACAGAAGGGTTCGGCTCTCGAAGCCAAACGCAAGCCCCGAGACCGGGTCCTTGATGGCCACTATGCTCAGACAGCGGTCTCGTGGAGAAACCGCCAACTGTTTATAAGCACTCTTCAAGTCCACTGTTTTCAAGCTCGGCTGAAGCGCCTCGGGTTTCAGGGCCCTCCAGAAAGAATGCACCGGAAAGCGAAGATGGTCACCGTCCGACAACGGGATGCTCACCTCGCCTTTTGCAAGGAAGATCTTGAAGAGGGTGATCGCAAGCCAGACCAACTCGTCAAGGGCCCTCAAAGAAATCCGATCGGAAACAGCGTAAGCGCAGTTTACAGAGTTCTCGGCCAAATCGTCGATCGACCTCGTCTTGGCTTTTTGCACAATGCCGAACCTCCGCACTGGAAGCCAGCCTTCTGGGTGACGGGCTTGCAGCTCGTCCCACGAGTAAGGCCCGGTTAGCCACTCCTTGACTAGCATCTCTTGCTGTGTGGAATCCCACACTTCCCGAGCTAAATCATCCACCTCCGCATTCGCCACCTTCGCCCACAGCGCAGGCCTAAGGAATTTAGCATGCTGCACAAGCTCTGCCCTTGTCATCAGAGCCGGTTTTCTGTCCACGTCGAAGATGCCAGAAGGACTCGACTCCCCCACCAAAGGAAAACCATGCTTAAGGTGTTCGAAGACTTCAGTGTCAGGCCATCCGAAAGACGATGCAATTTTTTCCAAAAGCAAAATATTCTTGCCCTTCATAACAGAAGCCACACCAGGATCCATGGCAGCATGCAGCTCTGCTTCGGCACCAGCCAAATCGCGTTTCCAAGAAGTCCACTGCTGGAGCAAATTCAGACGGTGCTTCATCACACCAACCGGGCCCTCTTTCAAGGTAAAAGCCAACGCTCTCAACATGAAGTCTGGGACTGCCACGCACAAGTCGAAGGGATGATCGATATGCAATGCCTGAGCCACAAACTCTTGTTCCGTGCGGTAAATGCCAAAGGTAACTGCTGAAGGCACACCTGACAGGCTTCCGACCTGTTTCGCACCGACGACCCCCCGATCACACACAACGCGAAGAAGGCGGGAGCCAGGAGGGATCGACCCTACGGCACAGGTGAGATTGCCCTTATTATCCAAAGGAAGGGGCCACGGAAACTCACGGACCGTGGCTTGGCACTTAAACTCGGCGATCTGCGGCTGGAATTTTGACAATCGCGGCTGCCGCCCAGCGGCTGCTACGGCAGAATGCCGCGAACTCTGCAGTGGAAGAGCATGCTCAAGTAAGAGGCCAGATTGGCCAACCGCCAGCTGCAGGAGGCCAGCAAACACATCACAGAATTTCGAAGTGTACAAGGCATCTGGCGAAAGCGAGCCCGCAGCATGGGGCCCGGGGCGACAACGACATGCTGGCACCGGCATGCCAGCCAGCGCGGCCTGGGTTGTGCACAGACGCATTTTGACAGGACTGGGAGCCCCGTAGCAACCTGCACAGAAGTCCACGCAATGGAGGTTGTCGGGCAAGTCGAGCTGTTTCCACAGGACTGACGCCAGGGGATGCAAGACACTCCAATGCGAATCAGATGCAAGCAAGAGTTTGGCGATGCGAATGGTTTGCCCGGCGCAAAAAGTAGCCTTGAAACAATCCTTGGTCGCAGGAAAGAAATGCACGTGAAAAGGGGCATCGTGGCTGATGACAGTCTGCACAAAGGAGAAACCCGACTCCGTTTCAATGTCCACCGGGACAAGGTGAGTGTGCACTCGCCCAGCGGGGCGAGAATGTTCAAGCGCTATGATTTGAAATCCGTCCCGCCGCACCCGAGCCGGCAGCAATCCGGACCCACACTTTATCTCGACATAGAGAGCAGAACCGGGCTTCAAGGGACTAGCAGGGTCGCTCACAGGTTCCTTAGGGTCAACGGCGGGGACAACCGAAGCGGGCAAGGGCCTAAGCGACTCCTGAGCTGCGGGGGAGGTCAAGGATGGCGGCTGACGAGCACACGCTTCAGCAGGCGCCAACCGCGCGCCCTCGGGCGCGCATTTCGGAACATCAACATGACACTCGCGGAGAAAGTCAAGATGTTCCTTGCACAGCGATTCAACATGACGGATGGTGAATGCAACCAGCAAGACTCTACGGCCCTGCCACGCCTCGGTGTAGTGCCAATTGTGTCTGGCATTGAATCGGACAGGGCCCTTAGCAACCTGCAAGCGAGAGCCTCGTGCACCATTAAGGTCGGATACGTCTCGACCGTTTTCATGCTCCACAAAGATAGCTCCACCTGAGAAGTCAGTCAGTGCAATCGCCAAGTTATGCAAGTTGGCATTCCACTGATCTCGATGGCGCTCAGTGCGAACATCCTCAAATATATTTATCGAAGAAAACTTAAACCCCGGAGCACGCTGTCTCACAAACCTTGCAAAGACTTTGAGCGCCTCCGGGTTGGCTGAGGCATTGGCCTTCAGGCCTACATTACCACCAAGAACATACGCTCCCGTGGCATAAGATTTCGAAGTTGGGAGAGGTGCATCGGCACCCCTCTTCAAGGCATCCGAAGGAAGACCATCGAAAACCCGCAGAACATCGGCGGCACTCACATGGCCCTCGTCATGTGAAGAACCTCTCTGCGACTGTGCCCCATCACGGGGCCTCGGGGACCTGCTGCGTGCGGCCTCCACCACACCTGGTGATGGCCTGGAGATGGCACTGTGAGAGCCAACGTTGTGCATGTGATGATCCTCTCGATCAACACCTGACTGCAGACGACACTCCACACCACTCGGAGGAGAGCCGCCGGCGCATGCATTGCTCGGCCGATGAACTCCCTCTAGGAGATCATCCACCTGTGAGGCTCCCGCTGCCGGCTGATGCACACTCTCTGGAGCACCGGCCATCAGCGACGCACCCTCGTGACCCGCTAGTCACGAGCCACCCTGAGCCCGCTTTGGGCACTGCGCTGCACCATGGTTGTGAGCACCGCACTTAGGCACTGCGCAAATGTGCAGGCCTTTCTCGCACTTCTGCCCTTTGGTAGGGCAGCCTCCCAGATTGAATGCAAAACAGATTGGGTCACCACGATTGGTGTGAGACCTGCAGCCCTCCAGGCCGGCGGGCAACCTTGTCATGAACCTCTGCTTACCTTTCTTTCCTTTGCCTCCACCTTTGTTGTAAGGAGAAGGCCTCTCCCACTTGGGAGCATCCGGCTTCTGGGGAACATCTTTTAAGGCAGGGGCCGGAAAAGGTTGCAATAAACATGACACTTCGTTCATGTACATCGCATCTGGCAGAAGTGTGTCCAACGGGCGACCCGATGCGACAGTCTGCACTCCTGCCCTGGTCTTATCACGAAGCTCGGCAAACAGCTGCCGATCTGCCGACTCAAGTTGCTTCCAAGTGGGCCTGGCAAAATGCTCCGCAGGCGCTTGCATGCGGGCCTTCATCAAGCGTTGAGTCCACTTATCAGCAACACTGAACTCGATCAGGTTCGCCTGATCCATGGCCAAAGCTCTCCTGGTGAGAGCCTGCTGAACAAGAATCTCCGATGAAGTATCCGCAACCAGATCAGGCTGTTTGTGCTCGATCCGAAGCTTTCCCGAAGACTCCTCAACAGTGAACCTGACATCGCGTTTCTTCTCGCCAGCCAGTTCAGCTTCCTTGGACACACACCGGTCCCACGGAATGTACCTCAGCTCATTTGCCTCATAGGAAGCCACAGCAAGATCAACAAGTGCATCGGCAGGCTCCAGAGGCCCTTTCAGTGAAATCCCGACAAGCTTCTTGGCCTGCCGCTCGTACCTCTCAGACCTCTCAGGCTGAGACAAAGGCCTGACGGTCGACTCTGGGTCGGCCTTCTCAATCCTCTGCTTCATTTCCGCGGTCACAATGGCAAAAGCTTCATTGTAAACCGCACGCCAATTAGCCTTGTCTGCAATTGTCAAGTCTCGCTTCAGAATGTCTTTCAACACCTGCATCAGCGGCCCCTCGTCAGTCTGGCCAGGTGTGAAAGAAGAAATGAACGCCAGCCTCCTCAAGTTTCCCACCTCTGGCAGGATTTTCTGAACGTCATCTTCTGCGAAACCCACGACACTCAATCGCGACTGCAGAACCGATTGACTCTCAGAGTAGTTAGCCATCGTCAGGAGCAGGAACCGAGCTAGTGAAACTCCTACAAATTGCTGAAAGTCCTCAGAACACTCTCGAATCCGCACCTCGTGGCCTGAGCTCTGACTTACCAGGTTCAAGCACAGACTTCCTAAGACTGAGCCGACTTCTCATGAACGCGATGCTTGCTTCTGACTGATGCATGTCACTCGAAAACTACAAATCGCACACACTCCTGGAAGCACTCAGCCTAAGCGCGCAACGCACAGAAACTCAGAAACTCCTTTTCACTGCACTCCTCAGCATCACTTCTTAGGTGGGCAACAGCTTCGACACAGCGGAAACAAAATTCGAGGAACGGAAGACAACCTTTCATACCTGGTCGATATGCTTCTTCCGCATCTGAACTTGTCGCCTTCTTCGGATGCGACAGCATGGATGAAACGGCTGTCTCTGTTCCTGAACAAAGGGACTGCTTCAAGCTCGGCACGCAAGCCTGCATCGGGCTCCCATTGCCTTCCCAATTCGTCGGTGGCCGCCTCCGCAGCTACATGATCGACATCCTCGGCATCCTCGCTGGCCTCGGAAGAAGATTCCGACAAGACCTCCTCAGGAGGAATGGGCATCCCCTCTGGATCTTCAAAGCGCTTCACGAAGTAACCGGACCTGGTGGCGTCCGGCATGAACCTTTCGCGCGACACCTCGAGCAGAACCCCTTGCAGCTGGCGCACAGGAGCAGACATGTTGTCTCTCCCATAGATGAGCTCGGTCCCATCACGGCCCCTGGCGTGGTAACCTAGGGCCGCTCTCACCTCACGGGATAGTCCGAATTTGGCGCTCCAACTCAAGGTCGTTGCCTTGAGACTATGCGTCCCAAGCGGTTCAACGGAAGACCTGTCGCAACCCGCACGGATCAAGAGTGACTTCATCCATTTCGTGGCACTCGCCACCGCCAGCGGCGATGTTTGCCACCCTCCGCCAGAGAGCGGGCTCGGAAGCAAGGGCTTGCCCGACCCCAAAGGAGGCCCATGCTCCTTATAGAACTCAAACCACTTGACACCCCAGGGCACCTCACCTATACCTTGGATGGGAGCAAACATGTGCAAGTACCTGACCTTTCTTTCCAGAGAGAACGAAGTCTTGCTTCGCTCAACAGCGGACTCCAGGTATCCGACTGTGCCGTCCGGCGTGTCGCTTAAGTCACAAGTCATTGCACCTGCAGCTTGGGCATCCGAGTACCTCGCTCGTGCATACAAGGTCCACACGAAGAAGCCAGCAGCGACCCGGTCTGAAGGCTCTAGCACGATCGAGCCGGAAGCGATGGCCTCCAGTTTCCGCACATGATCAACTTTGAGCGACGGCTTCTGCCGAGTCTTCCTCTTTTCAAGATACAGCTTCGACGACAGCCCACGGACCCTGGGGCTGAAGACTTCATCACTCACTTTCAAGCTCACAGTGAACTTTGCAAAAGCAAGGCTGCTCAAGAAACTCCTGGCGAAAGTGGGCGCCTCGTGAGATGCATAATCCTGTAGGAAAGCATAGATCCCTGCTTCAGTGACAGGGAAAGGAACAACCTGGCAACTTCGGCAGTGCTTGATGTACCTGGCAAGGGGCCCAGCACGGCCTGAGATCGTGACACTCGCCTTTTGGGAAAACACATCTTGCAAAGACGACTTCAAGTCAGAGTCTCGCCCGTTCTCCTTATCTAGCCGAATCGACAAAGAAAGACCGAAATCGTCGGGGAACCTTTCAAGAATCCCTAGCCACTTTGCCAAAGCTGCTTCCCTCGCCTCAGAGAGTTTCTGATCCCAGCTTTGTCCCGGCACACTCGGAATCTTCACTCCAGCAAGCCTGAGTGACTCAAGCTTTCCCGAAGACGACTTCACCGGCCCTGCGGAACCGGCCGGCCCCACTGGCGCTGACACAATGCATCCCCCTTTGGCGAAAGGCGAGGGCAAAGCGGGCATGTCAAGAAATGTAGAAGCTATTTCCCACGGCATCTTAACTGTGCTTCCAAGCCCTCGGGATGCAACACGCGTAGCTGACACATGGTGACCCTCATAAGCCCCATGCACGCGAGCCTTCTTGAGGCTACTTTCAAGAGAGTCGTCCCCTGACATGCTGGCTGCAAACTCGGCCTCGTCAGGCCAGCATGGCAAACGCTACACCCCACTACAAAATTTTCCGGCCCTTTGGCCAGGGTGCAGCTACCCACCCATCCCACCCCTGTCTCGAGGCGGCGCGGGAAATAAAAGAGATGAACTCAGACGATTCAAAGCATGCATTCATGCCATGAAATGTGGTTCAAATTAAAGCAAAGGCGTTTTGAAAACTTCGCAGTAATTTTCAAAACTCTCCTAGGAAAATAAAGCTAATAGAGGCAAGCCTCATGTGTCGCTTAAAGAACGGGCTTTACTAAGCTTTCCTACTCACTGTCAAGGGCGGACACTTTTCCTGTCAGCGGAGTGTGTCCTGGTAGTCTCGAGCCTGGCACGTCGCGTATGCGTGTCGGCTGTTCCTATGCATTAGCACTGTAGTTCCTGCAGGTGTACTGTCACAGGTGGAATGTTTAACACCCCGCCTTCGAAGTTAGTGCCGGTAAGTTCCTTACCAAACTGGCTTCGACACTTCTTTCCTTTACAAGACAGTACCTGCACGACTTTCTTTTCTACTCGAAAACAACTGTTGTTCCTCTACGCAAACGTTTCCGTTCACTCGCAATCCTCTCCAAGGTTGCTTGACTGTACAAAAACTGTTCCTTGAACTTACTTAGATCACCACAGAAACAAAAAGGGCTGTGCCACGGTTCCTGTGTCCTGTTTCACTGCTCTTTCCTCGGCTCTCTGGCCTCAGTACTGCTCGCTGTTCCTTTACTTCACTGGAAGTTCACTTCTTTGCTTCCTGCTTCTTCTTCTTCGCTGTCCTGGGTGACTTCCTTCTGCTCGTCTAGCTGTTCCTTGAGCCATGCTGCACGCTGCTGTGCCTGTGCCTTGCACTTCTGTTTTCCTTGCTTGTCCTTTCCTCCTGCTTTCCAACCTGTTTCCTTTGATCCTGAGTACCAGTACCATTGTCCTCGGGCTTCGTTCCACTTCCACTGGTAACTTTTTCCTTGAAAGCTGTAAACTGCAAACCAGTTTCCTTCAAACTCTCCTTTTCCTTTTCCTTTCAAGTACGACGCTTCGTTCACTGGTCCTTTGGCGGAAAGTTCCTCGTCTTCCTGTTCCTGCTTTCCTGGCTTGTGCTTTGTCACGCTTGGTGGCTCCTGTCCTTCCTTCTTTTCCTTTCCTTTTCCTTCTTCTCTTCCTTCTGGCTTTTCCTGCTCCTTGCTTGGTGTTGTGTCTGGCTCTGTGGGTGCCTGCGACCCGGCTGCTGATCCTCTGCTCTCAAGCTCCTGTGTGAGGCTTGCAATCCTTTCCTTGTCTTCCTTGCGTTCCTTCATCATCTCTTCCATCATCTGTTCCAACTTCTTCATCCTGTCTTCTTCTTCACGTCTCGGTTCCACTTCTCCTGATCCTGACGTTCCTTCTGCTGCTGCCTTCTTTTCTGCTTCCTTTCGGGCAATGTATGCCGATGCTTCCTTCTTGTCTTCCTCTCTCTTCTTTCTTGCTTCCTTCTCCTTTCTCTTCTTCTCCTGTTCCTTTCTTTCCTTCTCCTCTCTTGCTGCTGCGGCTGCTTCCTCTTCTTTCTCCTTCTCTGCTTTGGCTGCTGCTGCGGCTGTCTCCTTCTTCTCTCTTTCTTCTCTTTCTGCTTTGGCCTTTGCTGCTGCTTCAACTTCTCGCATTCTCTCTGCGGCTGCGGCTGCTTCCTGCTTTGCTGCTTCTTTGTCTCTTCTTTCCTGCTTTTCTGCTGCCGCTTCCAAGATCAACCTTGCTTTGGCAATCTGCTCCTCTGCTGCCTTCTTCTTCTCCTCTGCTGCTGCTCTTGCCTCTTGCTGTTCCTTTGAGATCCTGTCCTGTTCTGCCCAGTATTTGCGATCTTCTTCATCTCGAGGTTGAAATCCTGCGCTTTCTGCTCGCTGCTTTGACTTTCCTCTTCCTTTTCCTGCTTTTGCGCCTTTCTCCTTTCCTTTTGTTCCTTTCTCGTGCTTGTACGTGTAGTCCTTGTCGATCCACTGCTTCTCTCCTGTAACTCTGTGCTCTCGGTAGATCGAGCCGTTCTCAGAGTATTCCTTCCACTCGTTGCTGTAGTCGTAGGGGTACGGGAAAAGTTTCTTTTCCTTCTCCATTTCCTCAAGCCTTGCTTTGCTCTTGGCATTGATCTCCTTGATCTTCCGTTTCCTTGCTTCTTCTTTTGCTTCTTCGCTTTCCTCTTCTGCTGCTGCTGCTGATGCTTCTGCTTCCTCTGCTCCTTCGGGGTACTCCCCGGGATCTCCTCCAACGTAGCTGTCCACGTAGGTCTCGTTCTCGTTCTCGCCGAAGTAGTCGTGGTCCTCGTCGTCTTCCTGAAGTGTCTCAAAGTAGCCTTTGTCTGACCAGTTCCTTATGTCCTCTTCTCCTTTGTTATCCTGGGAGGTAGGTGACGTAGCTCTCGACGGTGCTGTACCTGGTCCATGTCCTTCACGACGTAGTTCTGCTTCTGCTTCTCTGTCCTTGGCTTCTCTTTCTCTTTGTTCTTCTTCGTCTTCTTCCTGCTCCACGTAGAAGTCGTTCACCAGGTTCTGTACCTGCTCTTTCAAGCTGTCACACGTCTCGAAGACATAGTCCATGCGTTCTCTGGCCTCTGTGCGGTCTCTTTCGTTCTGCTCGGCCATTTCCTGAACCTGAAACTTGACGTCCTGAATTTGTCCTGTCAGGGACTTCACGCAACCAGCCACGTGTTCCTGGGATTTGCGCAATCGCGCCGACTCTTCTGTGTTCTTCCTGATCGACTCTGCGATCTCGTTCCTTTCTGCGCTTGCTTTCCTTAGTTCTGTGGCGGCTTCCTTTAGTGCTTCAAGTTCCTTGAGAACTTCACTTCCGCTTCGGGAAGAGCTGGCACTAGCTTCCATGGCTGAGGCTGAGGTTCCTTGACCTTCTGCTACTGGCTTGACTATTCCTTGCACGCCTGAGCGTTCCGCGAGTGTTTCGCAGAATTCCTTGAGCTGTGAAAGCATCTCAAAACATGAGGTTTCATGCGCTGTTCCTGCAGACTTTCCTAGCTCACATGCACTCGTGTCACTGCACATGCCGTCCTGTGCACATGCACTTGCACAACAGAAAACATGTTCCTGAAACTCTGGCTGAAACTCTTCCTGAAGAAAACAACTCTCAAAACTTTGTTCCTTGCAACTCTGAATTTGAAGACTGTCTGAAATTCCTGAAATACCTGCAAACAACAAAGCTGCAAACGACAAAGTTCCTGGGCTCTTAATCATCCTTACAACTGCTTTGGCTTGTGTTTGGGCCTTGTGTTCCTTGAGCTCTTCTCGGCCTACTGGTTCGTTCTCTCCTGTTTGGAAACCTAGCCAATGCAACAGTAATCTAATGCGCTTCGCTGAAAGGGGCTTGGTTCCTATGTCGGCTGTGTTTTCCTTGGTTCCTACAGGGTGCACACTGATTGTTCCTTGCTTGTGGAGGTCCTGTAGAAAAAGGGTCCTGATCTGGAGGTGCTTCACTCTTCCTACACCTTGCCTTGTAATGATGCCTCTAGCTGCTGAAGAATCCATGTATAAGTGTACCTTGCAGATTTTCCTTGTCAAGAATTCTACTGCTTCCTTCAACAATATAGAATCCGATGCCGCGCTAGCTCCTGCGTAGTACTCTGCTTCACCACTGCTCAAGCTGACTGACTTCTGGTTCCTAGAAAAGGAATAGATACACTGGCCATCTAAGCAAACAATTCCTGAAGATGTTGAGCGCCTAGTGTCCTTCTTTCCTGCCCAATCTGAGTCGCTATAGACTTCCAAGAGATGGTGTTCCTTGGGCTGTGTTCCTGTAAAGTCGTAGTTTCCGTTCCTGATGGACTCATGGAGGTTGCTGAGTCCTCGGGGCGTTTTCCTGTAAACTAAATGGTATCCTTCAGTCTTGCTCATGTACTGCACTAGATGAACGAGGTGCTTCCAAGAACCATGCGAAGGTTCCTGCATTCTTGAGGCTAATCCTCTCACAGCAAATTGTACATCAGGGCGATCCTGACTGACATACAAAAGTATGCCAACGCATTTCCTGAACGATGCCGCTTGTTCCTGGTTCAGACTTTGGGTGTTGTCCTGTTCCTGCGATTCCTGAGTGCAAGGAGTTGGCTTTGAGGCTTTACTGGTAAGCTTCAGTTCTTCCTTGAGCTTCACTAGATACTTCGGGTCACTCGTGATATGCAGCTCATGATTGTGGTAGCTGAATTTCCTTTTGAGGAATCTGATGGTTTGATGTGACTCTCCTACTTCAAGTTCCTGTTCTGTCAAGAAGGGGCCTTCAACCTTCAGTTCGTAGGTCTCTCCTAGCTTTCCTAGCTTGGGCTCTAGGTGCCTGGTTTTCCCTGCTGCTTGAATGTCGTCCACATGCACAACAAGTATGCTGTTCCTATCATCACGAAACAAGGTAGGGCACGCAATGCACCTATCAAAGTTCTGCTCTTTAAGTGTTCCTGCAAAATGGTCACTCCAAAGAAGTGCTGCATCTCGCTGTCCTGGAAGTACTCTAAGCAGTAACAAACCTTCATTCCTACAGTTAGGATCTTGGTCGCCAAACAGATCCACATACTCCTTTGGGAATTGACATGCGCAACGGGTTCTCTGTGGTACCTGTAGAAATGCGTCCTTGACGTCAATCGAGTACAGGGCATGTTCCTGTTGTAATCCCAAGATAGGGATAAGTCTCACCAATGACGCGCTTGTAGCTGGGCTGAAAGTGTCATTCCTGACTTCTACACCTCGAAACTCTCTAGCCACTAACCTGGCTCTACGCATCCATCTGCCGTTCCTAAATCTCCAGTCAAAAACAAACTTCGTTGTGAGCCACTTTGTTCCTTGGTCTCTCTCTTCTTCTTCTCT